ACTAACGGCAGTCCCCGAGCCCGCCAACGGCCGCCGCCGCCTGAGGGCCGGAGGGGAGCGGCGCCGGCAGCTCCGTCCTGCGGCTGTCGAGCCCCTCGCTACCGCCTCGTAAGCGGTCCCGTTCACCTCCTGCCGGCACACCGCCGCCCTCGGAGGGAAAAGGCGGCACGGCCGCTGTCCCGGCTGCGGCAGCACAGCCTGCTCGACCCTCGCTGCCCGCTGCTGCCAGCGCAGCGGTGCTGAAGGGCGGCGGGGGGGCACCGGAGGCCTGGAGAATGTGCTGGGCAGAGCGCCGGTGGGGTCTGTGAGGAAGGGGCGCTGGTGGCGGGAGGTTGAAGCCGGGGGGGGCGAGGCGGCTGTGGGCATCGTGCAGTGTCACAGGCTGGTGTGCAGCTGAATGGGGTTAACTGGCTGTGGGGGTGCTGATGAACAGGGCCACCCACCCGGTAGTGGGACTCATCAGACTCCATTTTCTGAAGCTTAGGCGATGACAGTGTTCAGGGAACAGTGACCTGGCCTTAGGCCTTCCTGGTCACGTCTGGGGTCATTCTAGCTCGGAGAACACAGGGTCCAGGGCGATAAGGTGGATCTGTGTGTCTGTTTCATCCCTTCCTGCTGAATATTTGAAGGGATGGAGTAGTAATGGTGTAGGAATAATCCTAAAGAAACTGAAGAAAACCTTCCATTTAAACGTGCTTAAAATTTGATACTTCAGGACACTAAACACTGCTACCAGCCCACAATTCTCAACGGTTTACACTAGTGCTGCACTAGTATCCAGTTACTCCTCTCTCAGATGTTGATCTGTTTGTCCTCCTGAACGCAGCTCTGTGAACAGGGGATCTTTCATATGTATGAGCTTTGGTTCCTCAACAACCCAGTAATTCTGTGTCTTGTCCTTTACTAGATAGCTACACCTCCTTTTGAAGAGTTAAGTGGCGTTTCATATTGGACATCCACAGAGAGGACAAAGGACACTTTGTAGAAGAAAATCTGTATGACAGTAAACCAGATATGTATATACAAAATACCGTATTTCGGTATTAGAAATTCTCCCTCTAAATTCAGCAAAGTAGTATGGTATGAGATTTTACTTAAAAACAACAAAAAAAAAGCGGAGATGTGGATAATACACAGTGAAAACAGCACTGAAGAGCACAGTCAGCCCCCACACCAATAGTTTTGTCTTTTGATCTTCTGTGTACATGGGTGGTAATCAGTGTTTGCAAGATCAACACCTACAGGAGGTAACAGCAGAGTAGGAAAGACTTTAAAAAAGGGAGATGATGTTGCCCAGTTTCACACTTCTAACAGCTATGACCGATTTAGATAATGATCTATCAACTCAGATAAGGAAGACTAAGTCTTACTTTTGATAGGCTGATTATACCTATACAATATATAGGGCAGGTGGAGGTTTTAATTTCATGAGTTAGGGAATTGAGCAGTGAAATAATTATGAGAAAACACTAGACCGTCAGGAATTTACTGTAGGAATGTAGTATGCTTCAGCCAGTGGAAAGAATTTTCCACTGGATGGATTTTAAAAATCCTTAAAGAATTGCATAGTTTGAAAAAGACTATTTTAAAAAGAATTTTTATGGCTTTGTTAATACATACCTTTATTATTATCATAGTATGGCTAATTCTAAAGTAATTTCTTCACAGTTTATTCTAACACTTTGATAAAGAGTGAAAAGATCTTTCTTGGAAGATGCATCGTGAAGTACAGAAAATGAGAGAAATTGCCCTTGTTTACCTTGACAGAAGTGGTGGCCTCCAGAAATTCGTGCATGACTGCAAAAAATATAATGGTATTATTCACTCAATCGATATTCTGTTGAATTGATACCTGATGATAGACAAATCTCTATTTTTATTTAAGGTACTTTTTGATCCTACAGACTCAAAACAAAGTTATGCTGTTTACCGTTTCATTATTTCAATAAATCCTTCTGATATTGCTGAATTAGATGCAACTCTTGGAAACTACATTCTTCATAATCCCATACAAGCTGCACAGATTTTTCAGTCAGTAAGTATATCTTTATAAACAAGAGCAGACAATAGTCTATCATCTATATTTCAACTAGATTTTCCTTTCTAAAATGGAGCTATTTTTCAATCACAGGTATGTTTCATAGCTGTTAAGACGTTATCGTTAATTGAACAGTTGCAGACAGAGGCCCAGGTGAGTTCGCATTGTTCTCCTCCATTTAGATATTAAATCTTTTAAGTATGGTAAAGTATTAGCAAATACTATTTTAGTATTAACTTTCCAGTTTTCATTTTCCCTTTGATTGTGCCATTATTTGTAATTAAAAATAGCTGGAAGTCTCACCCAAACGTATTGCAAGAATCTTGAGATAATTAATATGAATCTTAAGTTACTTTTATACTTTATGAGTTTCTGAAATTTTTTTCCAATAGCTATATATAACATTGTGTGTTTGTCCATGTAAGTAAATTGGTTTTAAATAAATATTTTAATGGCATTAATGTAACTGTGTCTCTTGTTAGATTAGTATACTGCTGAAACCAACACATTTGCCACCTTTACCAAGCTATGTTCTGAGTCTTTCTGCATTTCCCTTTAATTACACATCTCAGAGGTTTTATATGTCTGAAGGAGTAGTGATTGCAATGGGAACTGTAACAAAATATACACAAGGAGCAAGATTTCTTTGTACTGAGGAAACCTGTCCATTTTCTGAAGGTAGTGAAAAAGTAATCAATACTATTTCAAAAACCTTTTTATAATTTTGATAACAGATTAAAAACCTAGCATGAAAAAGGTATTTTCCCATGCAGTTGTATTATGCAGACGTTTTTGTAATGAGCACAGCATGATTTTTATTAATTGAAAGCAGTGGACATTTGCCAGTG